GGGGAGGACAGGCTGGCGGCCACGTCTCCTTGTGCGTCTCCAGACTGGCGATTACGCCCTGCCTCAGGGCCTGAACGGTGTTCGTGGAGCCTGGCGAGGGAAGAGAGACGCAGAGCTCACCGCCATAGCCACGGGCCCTGAAAGCCACGGGCCGGACCCGAGTAACGAGGATCCGCCCCAGCCCCTAATCCTGCAGCAGCGTCACACGGGGCCCGAGAGCCCCTGGGCTGAGATGGACAATATGTCCCCACCCCCCCGGTACCGCTCCAGGGGCTGGTTAGCGGCACATGGCAGGAACGTCTCTGAAATGCCCTATTCATTTACCCACGGCCCTGAGCCATCCCCCACCTCATCCCAGCCCCGCCACCTTCTCCTGGGGAACCCCTCGCTGGCTGCCCCCCAGCTCTAGAAGGCAGCAGGCGTCTGGATTGCCCCAAGGAAGGAAACCACCAGAGCAGGGCAAATTCCCACACGGGGGACCCACAAGGGTTCAAGAAGGATACTCACTGGTTAGCCTTATCCCATCATCCGGGCTCTTGGAGAAGGCCTTGAAAAACTGAAAAGGAACAAGAGAGAGAGTGTTTGCAGAAATATCAGGGGAACATTCATTGCCCCCCCAGCATACACCGAGGGGCAGCATGTACCAGCGGGTATGGCACTAGACTAGATCTCCGGAGATCTGGGTTCTATTCCCAGGCGCCAGCGCAACTTGCTGGGTAAGTTGGGGCCAACCGCTGCCTTTCTCTGCCTCAGTTTCCCCTCTGTAAAAGGATATTTGCCTGCTTAGTAAAGCACTGCGAGAAGCAGGCTGAAAAACGCTATGTGGTTCAGTTGTTCCCAGCGCTACTTACCTCGCTCTTTCATCTGCAGCCCTCAAATCATTCGACAAAGGAGAGCAAGACCGTTATCCCCGACTAAAAGATGGGGAAACTGAGGCACAGAGCAGCGCCATCACGTGACCCAGTAGGCCAGTGGCAGAACCAGGAATAGAACCCACATCTCCTGGGCTCTCAGTCCAATGTCCAATTGTGGTGGAGGGTTGGGGTTCCTCCGATCCTGCAGCTCCATAGCAGCAAGAACAGACTCCTCCAGCCAGTAGACTAGCAGGGGGTTTATTGCTTCTCCAGGATACAGCACAGCATAGACCTGATGCGTCTACAGGAGCCTGGGCCAGGATGCCTCAGCCCCCTTGAGATGGGTCCCTAGGGACCCCTAGATTCCAGCCCCCTCCTTAGTCTGTTTCCTTCATGGTTCCAGCCCAAGACCTACCTGCCCCCAAACCAGGTGTTCGTCTCCGCCTCCCTCCCTTCCTTTGTCTCTCCCCTGGGGAAGGAGCCTTGTTCCCAGGTGTCTGGGCTAATACACATGTGGGTGAGTCAGTGGAAATCACATATCACAGCGTAGGGGGACACCGGATTACAGAGCAGACAGCTCCCCCCCCACTACGTCACACCAATCTACTAGGTCTTGCTGATTTATAAATGGTCTCCGGGCACCTGCAGAGCAATCAGTGGAACAGGCTCAAAGTACAAGATATAAATCAACCCAATGCAAACTCAGTGAAGCACCCCGGACACAGATCTACTCCGCCGTCTCCCTGGCCGCCTGGCAAAAGCCTCCCGGAACAAACCGATCTGGCATCGCACCGCGCAGGGCAGACCCGCGGGCCGGCACGGGCAGACGTCGCAAGGGGGTGCGATGGAGGGGAGGGCATTCTAGAGTTAGGGTCTCTTCTGCAGCCACACACCTTGCAACCTGCCCACCATCAGAGATCCTATCGGGGGACGGTCAACATGTGTGATGACGTGTCGGGGTCCCCCGACGCTGCACCCCCGTAGCAGCAAGAACAGCCCCCCCCAGCCAGTAGAATAGCAGGGTTTATTGCTTCTCCAGGGTACAGCACAACACAGACCTGATGTGGCTACAGGAGTCTGGGCCAGGATGCCTCAGACCCCTTGAGATGGGTCCCTGGGCCCCTAGATTCCAGCCCCCGCCTTAGACTGGTTCCTTCACGATCCCAGCCCAAGACTGACCCTTCCCGCAACACTCACTTCCTTAGTTCCCTCACTGCCCTCAGCCAGGTGTTCGCCTCTGCCTCCCTCCCTTGTCTGTCCCTCTGGGAAGAGGCTTGTTAACCCCTCGAGCTGGGACTAGGTGTCTGGGCCAATCCACACGTGGCTGAGTCAGTAGGAATCTCACATCACAGAGCAGGGGAACCCTGGGTGACAGAGCAGACAGCTCCCCACTACGTCACAAGTCAGTACAGGGACAGAGCCCAGGGGAAACGGTTCTCGAGCTCCCCCCTCCAGCTGCCCTGCAGCACCATGCAAGTTAAAAGCACAGCGGAGGAGGACACGTGCGACCAAGGTCGACGGAGGCAGGGCCCTGTGCCAAAGCGCACCAGGCCATCGGGGGCAGGCTGGGGGCGCGGCGAAACGAAGAGCGTGTGCGGCAGGATTTGTGCCGACCTGGCTCTGGATCCTGCTTGTAGCTCAAGCCCAGCCCAGGAGGGGCAGCTGCAAGGGGAGGGCTG